GATAAGATCAGGCAGGCCCAGAGCAACCACCTCAAGAAGGTGGTTGCTTTGGGTGAGCAACCACTTTCATGAGTCAAGAAGGTGGTTGCTCAAGAACTGGTTGCCAGAGCAACCAGTTCTTGAGGTGGTTGCTCTGGGCCTGCCTGAGATCAAGCAGGCCCAGAGCAACCACCTCAAAAACTGACAAACTTATTGGCCGGATCAGCCATGCAAATCCACGGCTATCTGCACACGAGATTTCAAAAGAAATTTTTATTGAGAAAAAAGTAAGTGACCGTAACAGTTAAAAGAAGGCTTTTGGTTGATTTCAAAATGAAGGCATGCAAGCCAGCAAAAAAACCTTTTTTATCATTAAAAAACCTAAAAGATCAAAAAACATTTTGTCAGCACTACAAAAATTGGACTGGTGAAAATTGGTCTAAAGTTCTTTTTTCTGATGAAACATGTATTAAACAATTTAATGTTACAAACAACTTTGTAAGAAGACTAAAAAACTGTAGATATATGCCAAAATATACATTTAGCAGTGTCAAGGCTCCTGTGTGTTGTATGGTTTGGGGTGCTATTTCTGCCAAAGAATGTGGGCCATTATGGATAATGCCCAAGAATACCACAATAAACAGCAAAGTCTATTTGGATGTTATGAAGGAGAAGTTGCCACCTTTCATGCAGATCTTGAACTGCACTTATTTCCAACAGGATGGTGCACCATGCCACACAGCCAAAATTGTAAAGAAATGGTTTGCTGATGAAGGAATTCAAACCCTTGAAAATTGGCCTGGGTCATCACCAGATCTTAATGTTATTGAAAATTGTTGGCATATTATGAAAGTAAAAGTTGCTGCCAAAAAGCCTAGATCCTATAATGATTTAGTTGAAGCAATCAAATCAGTGTGGATCCATGAAATTACATCAGACTATTGTACAAAACTTGTTAACAGCATGCCAAAACGTATCCAAATGGTAATTGACAATAACTATGCTTCCATTAAATATTGAACTTTTATCATGTATGTGCATGTACCTATCATCTTTAAATTGTTATAAACACTTATTTTATTGAAAAAAATAAAAAAACTTACTAATAAATTGTTTTTCACACAAATATATTGATTTCATAACATAAAATTTGATGTTCCAGGACTTTTGGCCACCAAATTTTTAATGCAGAACTTTTATTGATAAAGTTATGTTGCTTTTTGAATTGCTAGACCATTGTTTATTTATTTATTTATTTTTTTTGAGGATGTTTTTTTTTTTTTTTTGCTTGCTGACAGTTTAAAAAATTTGTTATTCATTTTATATATTTCATTATTATTCATATATGATCCAATATATTCAATTTTGTTGCTTTAATTTTTTTTTTTTTTTTCTAAATGTGGAAATGTTAGTGTCATGTTATATATATTTTTTGATTCTTGTTCATTGAATTTTATTTTATTAATACCGCTATTTATTTATACAAGTAAAATATCAATAAAAAATTAGTTACGTAGTTAATTAAACATTATTCATAATTAACATAATTAAATCTGTAATGATGTGTATTAAGTTTTTTTCCAAAAGTTTTGCAAGTTACTGTTGCAAAGGTGTTTTGCAAGTTACTGTTGCAAAAGTATTTTGCAAGTTACTGTTGCAAAAGTGTCTTGCAAGTTACTGTTGCAAAAGAATTCATTTTGACATAAATTTTTATTTTTTATCATTAAAAAATAAAATTGTTTACATTTTGTGATTTAATTTATATTTATATAAATTATAAATATAAATAAATTTCATTAAAGACATTTTGGTACAAATGTTTTATTTTTAGAATCCTATTGGCAAACAAATTTTAGTAATGGACTTCAAAACACTGTTTATTTTAAGCACTTGTTTCACAAGTGCTAATTTCATATGTAGCAAAAAAGCTTTATTTTAAAATTCAACTTGTAACATACTATATTTTTGATTGAAAACTTGAAAATCAAAGACTTAAAATGTCTTGTTTAATTCAGCACGAAAAAAAATAATTTCTTATTATCAATATCTTTTTGAAAAAATTTTTTTCCAAAATTTTATAAAACCTTTTGGTTAACATCTAAAGCAACTATTTTATAAATGCTAAATTTTTATTTGAATTAAATTATAAATTTAGCATTTATAAAATAGTTTAATACTAAATGAATTTATTAATAATGATAATAATAGTATAAAAAATTCTACTTATAAAAACTACTGTTGAAATGATCTTGAAAGTTACTAAGGTTACTAAGGTTACTAAGGATGACTAATGAACTTTTTTTTATCATAAAAATACTATTATAAAAAGAAAGTTATAGAGGTATAAATAATTTAAAATAATTTTTTGATTTAAAGTAATTTATTTGTATTATTTGTTAACATTTTTTTTAGTTCAATTTATTCAAAACCCCCCAAACTATTTTGTGCAGAAAATTCACAAATCTCATTATGGTGCAGTTGATGATGACAGAACATTGTGTCGAATTATTGTTTCCAGAGCTGAGGTATATTAAACTAATTGTTATTTCAATAAGATTTAACTGTGTTATTGCCATAACAACTGTGTTATTGCCATAACAACTGTGTTATTGCCATAACAATTGCATACTTCAACAGACCTTGATTGAAGACTTCATTGACCACCAAAATTTTTTTATGTGATACTTCATAGACCACCAATATTTTTATGAGATACTTCACATATCACATATTGTTTGTAAGTGATACTTCACAGACCTCGAATCATTTGTAGGTGATACTTCACAGACTACCAACAATTTTTTTGTGATATTTCATAGGCCAACAGTATTTTTTATGCAATACTTCATAGACTCTGTGCAAGTTTTAATTAAACTAAATTAAACCTCTTTTAAGTTTCTCAGTTTTTTCAGCACAGACTTTATCCAACACTGGTTGATTATGCTCATGATATTGTCTAGTATGACTGATATTGTCCATGAATTTCCATATGTGATTTTTTCTATTCATGTTATTAGAAATGAAAATAAGTTTTTCAACTTGGTCCAGGCACATCTTGTCTTGAACTGATGTCTCCTCTGCTCTAACATTTGACTTTTCACCACTAATTAATTCCACTTTACCGTATTCACCAAAATTTTTTACTCCTAAAGTCAACACAATATGCTATATAACAAATATGCTAAAGTGTAAAAATATAAACATTAAAAATTTTAGGCTTAGAATAATCAAAATTTTTATAAAGTCACATAAATATTTTTATTATGAAGAAAAAAAAAAAAAACTTAATTAAAGAACTAATTCTATCAAGATTGTTTTCTTAACTTATCTTTGTATTTACTTTTTTATGCAATTCTGCTCATAAGAAGCCATTTTATAGATACACATGTGCATAATATTATCAAATCTTTGAAGATGTCAATAAAATCTGTGAAGATGTCGATAAAATCTGTGATGTCGATTACAATAAAATATTCCAATATAATTGAATAGTTAAATATAAAATTTTTTGTTGCTGTTAAAAAATATTTTTTCTTTTGTAATTTTTTAAAAAATAAGCACTTTTCATGCTTACTTGGAAAATATAAAAATGATAAATGTTACTTTTATAAAGATGAATAAAAAAGATGAATAAAAATGATAAATGTTACTTTTATGAAGATGAATAAAAAAAATGAATTTTTCCTTTTTTTTTTAATATTTTAATAACTTGTAGTACTTAGAAGACTATTCCTCAATATTATTAAGTGTGGAAATTTCTTTGTTACTGAGTTTTTAAAATTTGATTTTATTTAAATATTAACTGTAAACAGTTTTTTTTTCTTTAACTTTTAATATCAAAAAATTTCTTTAAAATTTTTTTTTATTATTTCACTTTTAAAATAAATATTTAGAATGATTTGGCAATGATAAAGCAACTCTTTTTTTTGCGGTTTGGAATAGAAATGTTTGATTATATTGCTCAAGTGTGTCATAGTCCTATAAAAGGTCTTGTATTGCGTTTAATTGCAAGTAAGTTGTTTATTGATTGTGTTGAAAATCCAGAGTTATGAATTGATTATAATATTTTTTCTATTGTCTTTTTTTTTCAATCTAGATTTGTTTTCTTATGAAGAAAAAGAAAAAGTAAGTAAATTTAACACTTGTGACCCCATGTTACTGGGTCATAAATTAATGAATATTTCTAAAAAAAGTAATGTAAAAAATATTAATTTGACTTTCTTGTTGAAAAAGGTCACCCACAAACCTAAAAACTCAAGTCTACTATATATGCGTATGGATAAAATTTCAAATATATTTATGATTATTAGTTTTTAATTTTAATTTTTTTTTATTGGAGTAGTTTTTAAGCATTTAACAGTTTATTGTTACATCATAACACTTTAAGTTACAAATAAAATTACAAAGTTAAATAACAATTCTACAAGTACAAAAAGCTGTTGTATATATTGAAAAATGTTCAGCTTAATTAAAAGTGCAATATACAGTTCTTTGTTAGACAAAATCTAAGCTGGAGGTTTTCTTTCCTTTAATAGATTTTAAAAAGACTTTAAAGACACTTGGTTACTTGCTCTGCACATTGATTTGTTCTGGAAATTTCCAGTTTTGATGGTTCCTGATTTCAAAATTTTTTCACTGAGTTTAACACTTTTTCATGACAATGCAAGATGCTATATAGCTTCTGATAATCATTTGCATTGTTTATTTGGTCAGTAAACCAATGGTCCACCCATCTGTAAGTGATGAATCTACTATGTTATGTACTATCTTTATGTTAAGTAGTGAGTCTCTTCTCTATGGTAGAAGCATAAATCCCAAAAAAGCTTGTTTTGCTTGGGAATTTCATCTTGCATTATTTAGTTTAGGTTATTTTCTGAAACATCACTTTAGGAAATACTCCAGTTTCTTCAAAAAAGCGGAATACCCGAGTTAAATTAAATTTTTTTTAAAATTTAATTTAACTCGAGTATTCCGTTAATGAGTTAAAAAGCATTTCTTTTCGTTAAAAAGCATTTCGAGTATTCCGTTTAATGAGTTAAAAAGCATTTCTTTCCATTCTTGAATTTTGTCCTGAGCTGTTTGTAGTTCTTTATAAGTTCTGGGATAAACAGATATTCATTATTAGCAACATTGTTTCTTCCAAATTATTCATCAAGTACTTTGCAAAGGACTTGGTCAAGAACATTATGTTGACAATCAATGAATTGAGGTTCTTCCATTTTTTTTTCAGTAAAACATTTTTGTAACTGATTGCCAATTGCATTCTTTCTTCCAGATTTACATTCGTAGTGTCCGCTACAATCATCTTTATACTCTTCTATAAGTTGTATTCATCGAGAATAGCTGTTATAGTTTTAACAAGTATCTGCTTTTTTGTCTGGTAGTGCTTGTAATTTAACTTCTCTTTGTTCTTCAACACAAAAACTTGGTATTTTTTGTGACTAATACATTTACCATCAAAGTGCAGTGACCAGCATACTAAATGTAGCGTTTTCTTCATTTCTTTTTTAACTTTAACAGCTTTTTTAATAGATAATTTGATTATACCAGACTCTAAAGGTGTCTGAATGTCTATCCCACCTTGAAATAACTGTTTAACAAATGGTTGCGACTTTGTAGAACCATTTACCATCTTTTTTGTAAAATCAAAAACATTTATTGTACGTTTTCAGCACTTGATCCAGTTTTGCCTGCAAGACTTGAATTAATAAATGTGGAAAATTTAATTTTTTTTGCCATAAACTTATTACTTCTTTTTCAATTTGTTTTATGTGTTTTTATCTTCCTTTAATTGATTCCCTAGGAATACTCTTTGATTGATTCTCCCAGGAATACTTTAGTTGGTTCACTCGACAATTTGGATTTTGAGTGATATCCTGCTGTTATCTTCCAGTGATTATTCTTCCAGTGGAACAGTTCTTCTTTTCTTATGTGACTCAAATTAAAAATTATACAAGATTCTATATTTTGATCGTCTTGTTTCTTTAAATAGAAAAAGCACTTCTCTTATAAGACATTATGATTAAAGATAATACTTGAATATATTTCTGAAAGGTAATAATAATAAATATAATTGCTACTGTACTTGTATATTATTTGACTGCCATAGTGAATACAGATTCATATACAATTATTAGTGTTGCTCAATCAGGCAGCCTATGTAGTCTAAATGTTGCTAATTTCCATAAACTTCTAGAAGACTCCAGAAAATTCTAAAAAGTTTCAGAAATTTCTAAAAATATCCAGAATAGTCTAGAAAGTTCTAGAAAGCTCCTAAAGGAATAAAAAAACTCTAAGCTTCAGAAAGTCATAATGCAACTGCAAATGCTAGCTACCATTTTAAATGCTAGCTACCATTTTAAATATTTTGTGTTTTGAATGATCTTTTTTGAATATTAATCAGAATAAAATTCATTTTCATTACTTTTTAGTTAGAGTTCATTGATTTAAGACACAGAAAATTAATTATCTTTCAGAAAGTTAAAAAGTTTATTTAATATTATTATTTAATATTATTAATTTCTGTATTTTTCACCTAAGAAAATCTGAGATAATGGCTAAAGCTTAAAATCAATATATATAATATTATAAATATTATTAAATTTAAAATTAACTAATAAAAAAATAAACATAAATATAAAATGAGAATAGTATTTTCCGATCAACTTTTAAAAGTTAAAAAATATTTGAAATATTTTCTTAGATACTAAAATGTAACTTTTATTTTTAAACCATTGTAAACCTTTATTTTTAATAGACAAAGTTTGAGTGATGTAAACTCTTTAGTGATTTTAATTGAGTAATGCACACAGTATACAAAGTTAAAATAGAAAAAATGTAATTAACAAAATTATAATTTAGTTAAAGTTTCTATTTTGTGTTTGTGTATGCGTGTAAGTCAAGAGATCAAGGGAAAACATTTTTTACCAGAAAGATGAAGCATTCAAAATGTTTTACTTTCTCCAGATTTAAAAAAGGAGAGGTGTAACAGTTACTTTCAATTTGGTTACCATCAGTGTTTAATGTGGTTACTATCAGCTTTCAATGTGGTTATCATCGCCATTCAATTTGGCTACCATCAGGCTTTAATTTGGTTATAGGGTTTGTAATCCCGAGCTTTATTTTCAAACCCAGGTTTTCGTGATTACACTTATTTAATTCTGAGATCCCAGGAATAATCCTAGGATTTTGATGAAAGTTTTTTACATATTTAAGTAAGATTTTAATATAATTATTAATACATTTAAAATATGTTTAGAATTGTGTATTGAATGTAATTAATTACAAGAAAATTCTTTTTAATATGTTATAACTTTTTTTTTTTTTAATTATTTTTTTTTTAATATTATACACAATTATTAAATTATTAAGTTTTTATAGATATAGCATATATTTTATAATATACATATGTAATATTTTCAATTATTTTTAAAACACGTTTTGAGGAAGCAGAGCACATTCAAAGTTTCACATTCAAAGTTTCATCACTTCTCACAACTTCTTATTTTTGTTGCAAAAAGACCGGCCACAAAAAAAGCATGTTCAGATTCTACACTGGTAGACTTAATAGTCATTATAAAATTATACGCTCTTTGCAAAAAATCACCATATATTCCTCCATTTTCAAGCAACAGCATTTCCTTTTGAACTTTTACTGACAGCCTCTCCCATCGAACTAATATGCTGGGCAAATGTGCTTTTTTTATAACTTTATTAAGTTCATCTGTTATTATTTTGCTTTTTTCAAGAGGAAAATAGATTCAGATGGAGAGTCAGAAGGATCAGAAACAAATTTGAGACATTTGCCTCATTTGAAACACAAAGTTCAACTTCAAATTCAGACTCATAAATTGTTAATGATGTAGCTGGATTTGAAGCGTCTAGTCTTTCAAGTAACTTAACTATTAATTTGCAAGATTTTATTGAAGACGGAACTGTTACTAGCAAATTCGGAATGAGCGTTAGTTCTATCATTGTGCAGAAAGAATCCCACTTAAATTGGTCCCCCTTTGTTTCATTCAAATAAAAAGAGATAAATGCAACTTTATGTAAAAGTTATGGCAACATCGACTGTAACCAAATTAGCATATGACGGCAAACTATTGCTTTTATTGGAACTAGCATGTTAATGATAGCAGTTTTAATGTACATTTTTAATCTCATTATTATATAAAGCCAAAGATTTACCTTCCAGTAGACTTATGTCTATTAATGCGTTTTTGTATACAATTTTTAATAAATAGGTGCTTTGAAGCATTGACAAAAGACTGTTTCATCTAGTCTTGCAGTCTTTTATTAGAGTTATTTGCTTCCCAAATTCAGCTGCAACATACTTCTGCAAGATATTTTTTTTTTGGTGATTGTCTGAATAATAATAATGTAATTTAAGAATGTAACTGCAATCCAATTTCAATTATTATAGTAAATCCAATCCAATTATTCATAAACATTATTGCAAAAGTTTCAAATTTGTATAGTTCAAATTTGATTGCAATTGAACAAAAAAAAATTCAGGAAATGTAATTACCATCAGCCTTGAATATGGTTGTTGTTAGAGTGAACTTTAAAAACCTAGTTGTTAAAATAGCTTAATGTATTATGGTTCATTTTCTTATTTTTGTGTGTTGATATTATAATTTTAATTTAGAGAAAATCTGAAATTATGCCGCCATTTTGGATTGAAGATGGGAGCATTACACTTGATCAAAGACTTTCTTTTCCTGATGTTATAAAAATTATTTTGCGAAAAACTAAAATAGTAAACAAATTTGTGAAGATACTGATAGCTAAAAGAGAGGTTTTTTTAATTACTTTTTTTAAATAATCATTTATATTATGTTTTCTTTGTATTAATTTATTGTTTGTATTTTTATAAAGAGGATGAGATTAAAAGAAAATGAAGTAGAAACTAGTGATTCTGGTGAAGAGACTGAAAATATGAAAGATGAAGAGTCAGACACAGAAAATGTTGCAGCGGATGTTGATAGTGAGGAAGAAGAAAGAAGAGAGGCTCAAGAAGCCCAAAGACAGTTGCGCGATGGTTTAAAAAACATGTCTTTAGGAGAAAATGAAAGTAATAGCGAAGGAGATCATAAATCAGTGTTTCAATCAATATCATTTGGACCAGCCTCAAGAGGTATGTTTTTTTTTTGTGTGTAAAATTTATTTTTAAAATTAAATTTTTGGTTTAGTAATGCTAGTAGTTGTTTTGACAACTGTTTTTGTTGTTAAGTAAATATTGGTTACACAATCATTTTATCAACCTTACATTGATGAAATAGAGTCTTAGAGCAGGTTTTAAAATTTGGTCACATGTCATTTAGGTCAACGTTTGACTTTTGCACTTTGTCTATAAGAAAAATAAGCATGTATATATAAGTTTCAATGTAATTGCTTGTGACACTGTGACAAGCAATTACAAGTATTCTAAATTCTGATACTTGAAAAAAACTTCAGCATCTTAAATACAATGATTTTTTAACATCTTTAATGATTTGTTGAATTCTCAAAACTCTTACTAATGATTGTAATTATATGGTAATTAATTACTAATGATGGTAATTAAATATCGGTAAATAATGATGGTAATGATTGAAATGAGGGTAACGTGTTGTAAACATAGTTGGGCCTGCACTTCCAAGCATTATCACATTGTCGTAATGTTGTTTCTCGTTTCTATATATACTTTAAATGGGCACTGTTCTAAAGAGCTAACGTCTCTTGCGCCATGTACTAAAACTCATTTGCGTGTTTCATCATTCAATTAAGTTTAATCCTTTTATTCTTACTGTTTCCAAGTGCTTCAACCATTCTTATTCGTCTAGCTTTTTTCATCAACATTAGTTCTTTGGAATTTTCTCCCTTCATCTTTCTGATTCTGTTTTCCTGATTTATATAATTTTCAATCTTTAAGTTGCCTGTTAATTAATTAATCTTGCTCTATAAACTTCATCTTTTCTCTTCCAGTAACTTCCAACTCTAATAGTGGTTGCATGCAGCCTTGTTGGATGTGAAAATGTTTAAAAATATATATATTTTTTGGTTATTATGGAAATTAAGAACTTAATTAGATGACAGTTAAATTAGGATGAATGTGTTATAGAAAGATTTTTAGGATGATATAAACAAACTATAGCCTTAAGTAAAATACTTCTGCAATAGTTTCTGGAAAAAAAGAAAATTTTTTAATAAATTTCTTAAAGAAATTAAAATAGAAGCTGTACAAAAATCGCAGCACAAGATGGAAAAAAACTACAGTGATGTACAAATATGAAACCATAGTGATGTACAACTGTGAAACCATAGTAAAGTACAAATGTGAAACCATAGTGATGTACAACTGTGAAACCATAGTAAAGTACAAATATGAAACCATAGTGATGTACAACTGTGAAACCATAGTAAAATAGAAATGTGAAACCATAGTAATGTACAAATGTGAAACCATAGTAAAGTATTAATGTGAAACCATAATGAGGTACAACTGTAAAACCATAGTAAAGTATGAATTTGAAACCATAGTGATGTATAAATATGAAACCATAAAGAAGTACAAATGTGAAACCATAATAAAGTAGGGATGTAAAACCATAGTGAAGTATAAATGTGAAACCATAGTGATGTGAAACCATAATGAAGTACAAATGTGAAACTATATTGAAGTCATATTTACTCAAAATTTAAAAGTTGACAATTACTTTGGATTGTGAAAGATTTTTGGTATTTTATTCAATCTAAGAAGTTCTGAGTTTGACCTGTACCACATCTCTGTTAAACCTGGTCAACTTTATTCTAAATAAAGTTGAGCATATGATAATTATCTTTATTTTTATGTTTTAAATGATCTTAAATTAAATCAAGTTTTGAACAAATAATGAGATGTATTATTAATATATTAAATCAAGTTTTGAACAAATAATGAGATGTATTATTAAATATTATTGGTAGTTTTTTTTAATTATTACTTTTAACTTTTTGCTTAAATTTGTAAAATGAGTAATCTAAACAAATGATGTCTCCTATTTACCCTGGTCGTTTTACCCTTGGTCTTTTTTTTTTTAATTTGACATGGAATTCTAAGTAATATTTAAAAAATAAAAATTTAAATAACAAATTAATGCATTATGATGAGTCTGTGATGTTATTGGTGTTATAAAATTTGGTTATTGATTAATATGAATATATAAGTTGGAGAGTTTGCTTAAACTTTCATTCAGAAAATTTTTTTTCTTCTTTTTTTATTTATTGGTTGTAATTAATTACATTTCTCAAGGTATTTTAAAGAAGGTTGAATCTGAAGCAGAAGCCAATGAAAATCCTGAAAGGGTAGAAACACAAGATTTTCAGAATCATTCAAGTCCTGGTCATAAAGCTGGAAATGTAAATGGACCTGTAATTGACCCAACATTTATTAGTAGAGAACAAAGGAGGGGTTTAAGGAAGCCTAGAAAGGTAATTTTAACTTTTATTTGTAAAACATTTTTTTGATTTCATAAAAAATAATTATTATAATATTTAGTTTTATAGGACTGTAAAATAATTGCCTATAAATAAATAATAACTTTTGTTTAGTCTCATGGGACTGTATGTTTAGAATGTTTAGTAAAGAATAAATTTATGTTTAGTAAAAGAATTGCTCATAAATGAATAATAACTTGTGTTTAGTTTCGTGGGACCGTAAAAGGAATGCCTATGAATAACTTTGATGCTTTAAAAGATGCTCAAGCTGTTGGAAAGTCTATGTTACAAAAAAGTAATTTTTCTTTTTTTTACTAGTTACAATATAATGAAATCTTATAAACAATTAATTTTATAATCTAAAAATCTAAATCTAAAATACATGTTTATATGTTTTAGATAGGAATACTGAAAAAATTTTGCAGTTTTTGACCTCTCGTAATAATGCACAAAGACAACTTATTATTCGAGAATTTTTCAGGCGTTATCGAAGAGTAGGAAATTTAATTAATTTTTTAGATATTAAAGATTCTTTTTTCTTTTTTAAATTTATAATTATGTAAGTCTTATAGTAATGCTTTTCTAGGATCTTGTTGATGACATTCGAATGTTGGTTCCCCAACATGAAGATATAGTTTTAGCATTATTACTATCAAGTCAAATTTATGATGCAGCATCTATCTATAGTGCTCTTAAGGTATTTTTACTAAGAACTACATCATAAGTGCAGGGACCAAAAGTATAAATAAGATCTAACCTGAAAACACCTCCTGGTTGTATTATGCTTAACTTGGTCAAATAGCTTTCTTTGTCAAAATTAGTGCTTTTTTTTTAGCTTTGTTAAGCTGTTTTTAACCTTTTATAAGTTGTATGGTTATTAACAGAAAATCATTTTTATTTTTATTTTTAATAAAATGAAAAAAATTCTTTTCAAGTTTTTTTTAGTTTTCAATATCACACTGAGCCTTATTTATACTGTTATACTTTGTTTGTACTGCTATACTTTGTTTGGAATCTTTATAACTTTTTTTCTCTAACAAGATAAGAATATATTTTTATAATTTTTGATTTTAAATTAAAATAATTATTTTAAGTTTAGAAAAAAAATTATTTGTCAAGTAAACATGTTATTGAAAAATTCACTTAATTTTCTCACTAAAAATCCAAGTTGAACTAAAAAAATGTTACACATTTATTTCTAAATAAAATATTTTTAAAATATTTTGAAAAAAATTTGGTTTTAAATTATTGAAATTAATATGTAGTTCGTAAATTTCCTGACCTTTTATTTCATAATTCATAAATCAAAAGTTGTTTGCATACCTGCAATTGTGAACAAGAACAAAAAAAATTTGATGTGTGCCACATGTGATAGTCATGCTTGATTTATGAGGTAGCATAGATGTGGGCCATAATCAGTTATGGTATTTATAATACTAGTATATATATATATATATATATATATATATATATATATATATATATATATATATATATATATATATATATATATATATATATATACATATATATATATATATATATACATATATATATATATATATATTTATTGTTATTTGTATTGTTATTTCCAATTTAATTTATCTTTGTAAGTAAATTATCTTGGTGTATATTAATTTTTTTCTAGAATGAAGATTTAACAATAAAAATTGATGTACTTATTGAAATTCTTTGTACTCGTCAGAATGATGTATGTTTTTAAGGTTTATTTTTAATATAGAAATTTGTTTTTGTTCTAAAAGTAAACAATTCACTTTACTTACACATAAGTCAGTGTGTTATTTCGCCCACCTATTATGTATTTATTTTTACAGGAAATAGCAATTATCAAAAGAGCATTTAATGGAAGTAAGTAAATAACTTAATATAAAAAAATATTTCTCTTTAAATTTTATGATTATTTTTGAAACTGATTCTTTTTTTTTTTAGTTTTCAACTTAAGTTTACAAGAAGAAATTGAAAAGATAACTTGTGGTCATTTTAAGAAATTAATGTGTACTATTGTTGAGGTTTTTTTTTAACCTTTTATCTAAATCTTATTTTCTGAAAACTTTATTGTTTTATTGAGTTGGAAAAATGATAAAACAACTTCAATTATTTTATCTACAAGGATAAAAATAATTTTAGATAATTTTTTTGTATAACTAACTATTCTTTTGTTTATTAAAAATTATTAAAAATAAGTTTTTAAAGTATTATTATAAATGTTGGAGTTTATATTCCCACATAAATATTGGAGTTTATATTCCCACATAAATGTTGGAGTTTATATTCCCACATAAATGTTGGAGTTTATATTCCCACATAAATGTTGGAGTTTATATTCCCACATAAATGTTGGAGTTTATATTCCCACATAAATGTTGGAGTTTATATTCCCACATAAATGTTGGAGTTTATATTCCCACATAAATGTTGGAGTTTATATTCCCACAGATTTTGAATTAGAAATTATAAAAAAAACTAATACTTGAAATTTATTTTAGTGTCAAAGAGATGAAAATGATGAAGTTGATTATGCTTTAGCAAAGAAAGATTCACAAACTCTTTACGAGGTTTTTTTTCAAGTTTTAATATTTTAGGATAAAATAAGAAGTTTAAATGCACTCAATTCTCTTTTAGTGACAAAATGAAAACCTTTGTCATCGAATATGCTTTCTCACATGTTTTTCAAACTGATATTAGTTAATAAGTAAAATGTTCTTAACCACATTTTCTGTCTGTAACAAACATAAATGTTTATTTAACAAATTCCTTTCAATATTTGCTATACTATACCATACCAACTAAAAATTGAATCATTTAATAGTTAGCAAGAAGAAAAATTAACTTTAATAGTATCTTGCTCCATGTTAGTATTATAGTATCAAGACATTTTTCTTATTTTCAAAACCTTTAATTGCTCTTTAAGATATTTCTGTTCCAAAGAATGTTTTATTTTTTGTTTTGAACTATCTTTGTTTGAACTCATTCTTTAGATATTTTCTTTTAATAGGTAGTCTGTGGTTAGAATGTGTGTATGTGTGTGTGTGTGTATATATATATATATATATATATATATATATATATATATATATATATATATATATATATATATATATATATATATATATATATATATATATATATATATATATATATATACACACACACACACATGTATATATACCATATATTCATCTGTAAAATCAAAAAAAAACATTTGTGTTTTACACGAATTTCCAAGAATTTTTTATTTCAATAAAGTTTAATGTTTTAAAAGTTTAATGTTTTAAAAGTTGCATCATTATTAATATCATTCTTATAAAAATAAAAATTGAATCAATTACAATGATCAAGATTAAATCCCTTATAATAAGTGGTTTGATCCATTGCATTTATCAAAAATTTATCTATTATTACAATCCTTTATAATGAACAATTTGATCGATTGCATTTATCAAAAGTCTATCTATTATTACAATCCTTTATAATGAACAATCGATTGTATTTATCAAAAGTCTATCTATTATTACAATCCTTTATAATGAACAATTTGATCAATTGCATTTATCAAAAGTCTATCTATTATTACAATCCTTTATAATGAACAATCGATTGTATTTATCAAAAGTCTATCTATTATTACAATATTTTATAATGAACAATCGATTGTATTTATCAAAAGTCTATCTATTATTACAATCCTGATTTTAATGATCAAGATTTAATCTTTTATGAACAAGAATTATTATTATTACACTTGTAGCAACAAGAATGTAGTCTTATTTTTATTATTGTATGCAGTGCAATTTAATTTATCTTTTCAAGTATTAATTATGTTTTAATAAAGTTTGACAATAAAAATTGAACTTATTTAAATTCTATTTAACTATGTTTCAGTTAACATAAATCATGCTTACAGTCAAAGTTGGTAGAGAAATCATGAAATAATTGTTTCATACAAAACAATTTTTCATACAAACCCTGGGTGCAAGTGTAATTGTTGTTTTAAATCAATCATTCATGGTTGATTTAAGTTACTGTTTTAAATTTAGATATTGTTTTAAATTTAAATGAAGAGATACCGTTACATTGTAATCATTGTTATCAGTAACTTGATTTTTTTGAAAAGGCAATTTAAACCACTTCAAAAATAAACGGTTCATATATATAGTTTTTACTATGTATATGAATATATATACTGTACTTTTGAACAGTACATATATAGTAAAAGTACAGTATATAGTCTCTTTCTTCATTTTTATGCTTTTACAAGATCATTTCTTCATTTATCTAAGTCAGTTTTGCAACACAAGCAATGCTTGATCTGTTCTGAACCTCAATTGTTTTTAGACCCAAAATAGGTTGAACTTTTTTGAATTATTATATTTTTCATCAGAGTTTACACTCTCAGAAGCAGCAATTTTCAACATTGACATTCTTGACTTAGTTTACAGACAATAGGGTCAAATATATTTGATCAAACATGCTAACGTTATTTCTTCATTACAAATACATTAATTCTAGATTTCCAAATACAAATATTTGTAATTTAGGTTAAGAAAAAATACTAAGATTTTTTTTCAACACCATTTCAAGACTTGTCTTGAAATGGTCTTGAAATGGTCTTGAAATGGTCTACAGTGGTAGCCAAAAGTCCTGGAACATATCATATTTTATGTTATGAAATCAATATATTTGTGTGAAAAACAATTTATAAGTAAATTTTTTTATTTTTTTCAATAAAATAAGTGTTTATAACAATTTTAAAGATGATAGGTACATGCACATACATGATAAAAGTTCAATATTTAATGGAAGCATAGTTATTGTCAATTACCATTTGGATACGTTTTGGCATGCTGTTAACAAGTTTTGTACAATAGTCTGGTGTAATTTCATGGATCCACACTGATTTGATTGCTTCAACTAAATCATTATAGGATCTAGGCTTTTTGGCAGCAACTTTTACTTAATATATATATAATATGCCAACAATTTTCAATAACATTAAGATCTGGTGATGACCCAGGCCAATTTTCAAGGGTTTGAATTCCTTCATCAGCAAACCATTTTTTTACAATTTTGGCTGTGTGGCATGGTGCACCATCCTGTTGGAAATAAGTGCAGTTCAAGATCTGCATGAAAGGTGGCAACTTCACCTTCATAACATCCAAATAGACTTTGCTGTTTATTGTGGTATTCTTGGGCATTATCCATAATGGCCCACATTCTTTGGCAGAAATAGCACCCCAAACCATACAACACACAGGAGCCTTGACACTGCTAACTGTATATTTTGGCATATATCTACAGTTTTTTGGTCTTCTTACAAAGTTGTTTGTAACATTAAATTGTTTAACACATGTTTCATCAGAAAAAAGAACTTTAGACCAATTTTCTCCAGTCCAATTTTTGTAGCGCTGACAAAATGTTTTTTGATCTTTTAGGTTTTTTAATGATAAAAAAGGTTTTTTTGCTGGCTTGCATGCCTTCATTTTGAAATCAACCAAAAGCCTTCTTTTAACTGTTACGGTCACTTACTTTTTTCTCAATAAAAATTTCTTTTGAAATCTCGTGTGCAGATAGTCGTGGATTTGCATGGCTGATCCGGCCAATAAGTTTGTCAGTTCTTGAGGTGGTTGCTCTGGGCCTGCCTGAGATCAGGCAGGCCCAGAGCAACCACCTTAAGAACTGGTTGCTCTGGCAACCAGTTCTTGAGCAACCACCTTCTTGACTCAAGAAGGTGGTTGCTCACCCAGAGCAACCACCTTCTTGAGGTGGTTGCTCTGGGCCTGCCTGATCTCATCTTTGAAGTAAAATTTAATTGGGGCTCTTCTTTATGCCTTTTTAAAGTTCTACTTACAGTTGATAATGAACAACCAAGCTTTTCAGATATTTCTCTTTGAACTAAAACTTGTTCATATAATGCAGCAATAATTCCTCTTTTTTTAGGTGAAAGTTCTGGGAAAATATAGCTGATAAATTGCTTATGAATAATAAAAAACGATAATAAATTGCGCAGTATACAAATATGTAACTATAAACATATTGCTATGTAAAAACAAAAGCATCAAACCTTCAAAAATTTATACTAATTAAAAACAAGTCTTCTAACAAATACTCCTTGAAAACAAATTTTCAATTTATCAGGGTGGCCAGAAAATTTTGGATCTCATTTTCTCTGACTTAAAAAAAAAAAACTCCCTGACTAACCTGAATGTAAATTTTACAAATGTAGCAATAAAAACTACAAATGTAACAATAAAAAATTTTTAAAATGTAGCAATAAAAATTGCAAATGTAGCAATAAAAATTTTATAAGTGCAGCAATAAAAATTTTACAAATATAGCAATAAAATTTTTTATAAATGTAGCAATAAAAACTTTACAAATATAGCAATAAACATTTTTTACGAATGTAGCAATAAAAACTTTACAAATATAGCAATAAAAACTTTACAAATGTAGCAATAAAAACTTTACAAATGATGCAATAAAAACTTTACAAATGTTGCAATAAAAATTTTACAAATGTTGCAATAAAAATTTTTACAAATGTAGCAATAAAATTTTTTACAAATGTAGCAATAAAAAGGCAACAAGTTATAATTTACCCAAATAATAGGTTTTCCTAAAAACTGTTTACTTTAAACTAATAAACATTTTTAAACAAAAAAAAATAAAAAAAGCAAATTGATTTTTAGTCCCCAATAGGCAAAAAAATATTTTCTTACTGAATCCATCAAAATTCTCTGACTTTTTCATAATTTTTGCAAAATTTAATATATTTTCTGATTTTCATCTGACTTTTTAACATAGTTTAGAATTTCCCTGACCATTCTAGATTTTCCAGCTAGCCACCCTAATTTATTTTTGTGTTAACAATGAAAAAAGAAAAACAATGAACCTCTTGGTATTTCCAAAATAACACTGGTGTATGGAACTGCAAATCAGGGGTGTGGAGTCGTAAAAAAAAAGTAACAACTCTGACTCCAGTAGCTGAAATTTTTTGAGTACAACTCTGACTCCGACTCTAACTCCAAAGCAAAGTTTTTGAAAAACTCTTTGAATTCTTTTCTTATTCGTTAAAAAAAATTTTTTTAACAAATTTATGAAATGTTCTTTGAGGTTTAGTATGAACATTGTACATGCACATGCAATACCAAGAAAATTTTACTATTGGAGTCGGAGTCGCGATTTTGTTTATCAACTACGACTCCGCTGAAAATATCGCAACTCTGATTCCACAGCCCTGCTGCAAATACATTTCAATCAAATACAAATGTATATATTTAAGAAATTTTTTTATTGAATACAATACAAATATGCCAAAATAGCCCATTTTAAGCAAATACAAAAGCGCGTTTGATCACAACCCGGACAGACAACTTTGCTAAAAGAATGCCAACTGATTTTTACATATTTAATTAAAGCTCTCATCTTAATCTGCAAAACAAAAAAAGTTTATTGTTACATGTGTTGTAAAATAAAATTAAATCAAATTAAGCTTTTATAAACATATTTCACTCTAGATTTCAATTTGAATCAAAAAAATTTTTATAAAATTTAAAATACATTTCATTAAAGTAAACTAATTTCACAGAACACTGAAGTGACACAGAACACTGAAGTGACACAGAACACTGAAGTGACACAGAACACTGAAGTGACACAGAACACTAAACACAGAACACTAAAGTGACACAGAAATTTACTCCATCAAAGTAATCTAACACCTTTCATGCAAAGTAATGCTTAAATTTTTTCGTTTTTTTTTTTTGTCTTATTATTCTTGAAGGAAAATTTCATTGTAACATTTGTAACACAAGTTCTAGATTTTATTAAAGTTTAATAATTTTTTAAAAATTTAAAATTCACTAATAACCATTATTTAATTTTTGTGTAACTCTATTTGTAACACAAATTCTAGAATTTGTCAAAGTAAATTATTAACCAATTGAATTTTTTTACAAAACAAAAGACAATATTGGGTCAAATTTGACTGCTGTATTTTTTTCTTTTTTGATTTTATTTATGTTGAGTTATTATTTATAAAGTTAAAAATAACATAAATTCTAGAATTTATTAAGGTAAATTATTCACTAATAACCAGTGGGCAAGGATTTTTTCTACAAAACAAAAAACAATGTAGGGTCAAATTAGACTGCTGTATTTTTTTCTTTTTTGATTTTATTCATGTTGAGTTATTATTTATAAAGTTAAAAATAAAATATATAATGACCTAATTTTTAGACAATTCTACGCAAGCCAACAAATCATGAATTTTTTATTGAATTGTTTGCTACAAGAAGCCTGCCTCACATTGATTTAGTATGCGATCTTCTTTCTGAGGTAAGGAATCTATTGAATTTTTTTAAATCAGGTTTTTTATTTTCTAATATTTGTTTTACATTAACAAAATTTTGTTATTAGATGATGGACATGGATATACTAGAAAGATTGGATGAAGTTATACAAGGAATTTTCTTGGAAGCTATTACTGCTATTAGTAAAAATTTAGGAACTTTTTTCTCCTTTAAATTTCTGGTTTTAAAACAATACAATTTTTAAGTGTAAAACTTTTCTACAGTCCAATTTTTTTTTTATGAAAATTTTTAGTGATATTGAAAAAAAGTATTTTTTTTAAAGTTTAAAGTTTACAAATTTAAATCTAAGTAACAAAGTTGAAGTATGCAAACAGTAGTGTTGAAGTATACAACTATTGTATACAAAATCTTGAAGTATACAACTATTGTATGCAACATTTACATTACAATAATATTATAGAACATCAATATAAAACACATTACGGAAATCAGTCTTTAAAATAAGTTTTTTAATATATTAAAATCTGGCTTTACAGTTTCTAGTCCTCTCTCTTTTATTAGATCCAGGTGCCTATCCATATTTCCAGGTAGTAATAAGATACAGTGCAATCTCTCTAATTCAATTTTTATAGGGGAAAATAAAAATTTGAATAAAGAGATTTTCAAATTATAAATAGTTGATTTTTTACAGTGACATTTTACCTTGAGTAAACATTTAATTGAATGATGGAGGTTTTCGAATTAAGGAGATTCTAATTTGACAGATTGTGCTGTAACTAAAAGTAAAAATCCGAAAAAATAATGCTTAAAAAAAATGTTTAAAATAAAAATGCAAAAAATGTGAAAAAATGTAAAATCTTGAAGAAATTAATGCATTAAATTTTACATTACATAGGAAGATACTTTCCATCATTTAATTTTGTAAATATTTTTAACTAAAAAAATTGCAGCTATGGACTATGTTGCTCAGTTTTACAGTTTTTTTAATGGTACTTCCTATTTTTAAATCAGGTAAGAATGTAAATTTAAATATTTTTTTCTTGTTTAGTTTGTAATATACGAGATCCACCAATGTTTTTTTCTGAGCGTATCTATCGATCAATATCTTATCTCCCTTGTAACTATTCTATGCTTATCCGATGTATAGTTTCACGATCTGAGGTTTGCTGAATTTTTTTTTAATTATTTTGCTATCAGTATTAATAAATTTTGAAGATGTTTATATAATTTGCTTGAATAAATATACATAATCTATTTTATAGTTGAAAGAGAAAAAAGAAGATAAGGAATAGAATTACTTTTTTACTACCAGGGAAAAGGATTAATTTTTTTCTAGTTTTTAGTATCCAGCAACTCTACTAATGGGAAATTAAAACTTATAGGTTGGAGGAACCATTAGTTTTTGAACAAATTTGCAAACATTGGCATAAGTGCGAATTGGCATAACTGCGAAATGGCATAAGTGCGTCGAACAAATTTGCAAACATTGGCATAAGTGCAAATTGTCATAAGTGCGAAACAGTTACAAAAACTGGCATAAGTGCGATCTGGCATATGCCAATTCGCACTTACACAGCCTCCCGTTTGAGATTTATAGAGATAGAGAAAAGAATCCAGAGTAAGAAAAGAGTGTCAAGCTCGATAAAAAGATGCAACTTAAGCAGATGTTAATTTTGCAACGGATTTTATATATGGTTTCCAAGAAAGATCAGAAGTAAGAGTTAATCCTAGATGATGGGTAGATGACTCATCAAGTACATTACCGTTCATGAATATAGGAAGATCTAAATTATTGCAATTACGATTGGCTGAAAAAAATTGAGTTTTATCTGAATTAAAGTTCACCAGCCACTGTGAGCCCCATGCTATAGCAGAAGTGAGATTCTTTTTAAGCTCAAATGCCCCCTCCAAGCAATCAGAGAGAGTTGGCTTCTTATCATGACAAGAACATAATAGATCGATCTCACGATCAAGTTCAGGATTGAAAAAACAGCAGTGTTCCATGAAAATCATGTTTTGGTCCAACAAGGTCAACAAAATAAAGTTAGCAAAATAAAGTCAGCAAAATAAAGTCAGCAAAAATGCTTTTTGAAAGAAAAAAATTAATTAGCATGACACAAAAGTATTTATGAAAAAAAGGAAAAATTAAAAAATAAAATCAAAATGTTTGTAACCGCTGATCTGTCATTTTATCAATTACATTTTAGGTTACATTTGTCAAAATTTTTTTACCAAATTCAAAAAGCACTTAATTAATGAAAACAAGGTTGCAAACACAAGAAGAGAGCTAAAGATCAGAAAAAAAAAATTATTTATTTTATAATTTCTTTATTTTTTTTTTTATTTGCATTCACTCCCAACAAGGCTGCAAGCAACCACTATCAAGTTGGGAGTTACTAGGAAAAAAAAGAACAGAGTTATAGAACAAGGAAACGGTTGACAGAAGACTTGAAAAGTTGAAGGTTGTAAGAGTCAGGAAAACATGAAGGTGGGAGAGAGTTCCAAAGGATTAAAGTGCGGGGAAAAAAACTAGATAAATAAAAGTTTTTAGAACATGCAGGGACAGATACAGTAAACGAATGAGACTTAGCTGAATGACGAGTAAAACGAGAATGAATTTTAGTTGATGGAACTAGAGATGATAACTCCTTTGAGCAGTGACCATGATAGTATTTGTAGAAAAGAGAAAGAGATGCAACTTTACGACGATGGGAAAGAGGTTCAAGCTTAGCAGATAGTCCAGGTCCAACAACATTTACAATGCGATTTTTGACCTTGTCAAGAAGAGAAAGTGAATCCTTAGAAGAACCAGCCCAAATATGACAACAGTATTCCATACAGAGACGAATAAGAGATTTGTAGAGGTAGAGAATGGAATCAGAAGTAAGGAAATGGCGAGCACGATAAAGAGAAGCAACCTTAGCAGAAGCTAATTTAGCAATCGATTGTATATATGGTTTCCATGAAAGGTCAGTAGTAAGCGATAATCCAAGAAGGCGTAAAGAGGACAACTCAGTAAGAGGATTGCCATTCATTAATATAGGAATGTTGACCATATTACGGTAGTTGTTTGCAGTAAGCAACTGGGTTTTTTTAGAGTTGAAATTCACAAGCCACTGTGAACCCCAATCTATTACTGAAGTGATATCGGATTCAAGATCAGCTGCTTGTTCTAGGCGATCGAAAAGAGAGGACTTTTTGTCAAGACAGGAGTATAAAGTTGAGTCATCAGCAAAAAGAGCTACTTTAGATGAAAGGTTGTCAGGAAGATCGTTTATGTAGATAAGAAACAAAACAGGGCCCAGGATGGAACCTTGGGGAACCCCAGAAGTTAATGGAAATAAAGAAGAGTGTTGGCCTTCAAGGATGACTTTAATAAACCGGTTAGAAAGAAATGATTTGATAATTTTGAAAACTTTCCCTGAAACACCATATGAAGCAAGCTTATGGAGAAGACCAGCATGCCAAACTTTGTCGAAAGCTTTAGATATGTCGAGAGCAACCGCCCTAGCCTCACCGCCTCCATCTAATGCACGATAAAATCTTTCAGTTACAGCAGTTAGCAAGTCGGCCGTAGAGCGAGAGGATCGAAAACCGTATTGATTGTCTGACAGTAGTTTATTTGACTCAAGATGAGGTGTGAGGAATTTGTTGATCAAAGACTCAAAGACCTTGCTAATAACAGAAAGAAGACTGATCGGACGATAATTGGAGGGGTCAGAATTTTTTCCAGAGTTTTTGAATATTGGAACCACAGATGCCATTTTCCAACAAGCAGGAAAACAAGACTCAGTCAAACACTTGTTAAATAGTTTAGAGAGAATTGAATGTTGTCTGGACCACAAGCTGTAGACGAGTTTAATTGAGATATGACTTTAGCAACAGAAGCCGGAGTGATTTGAATGTCTAACAATGGGTCAACCTGTTTGACTGGAATGGAAGGAAGAGACTGGACTTTAATATCCATATTCAGTTTATTTTAATATAATCTTGTATTTATATATTAATATTATATATATATATATATATATATATATATATATATATATATATATATATATATATATATATATATATATATATACATATATATATATATATATATATATATATATATATATATATATATATATATATATACATATAATTTTTTTACCAAATTCAACTAGCACTTAATTAATGGTTGCTTAATTAATGGTTGCAGCCTTGGAAACAAGGTTGCAAACACACACTAATTAAGTTTAGGAATGTTAACAGAAAGAAGAGAGCTAAAGATCAGGAATGTTAACAGAAGGCTTAATAAATCGTAAATTGTATTTAAATTATTAAGATTTGCACTATTTAAGTTGGGAGTTGAAGATCAGGAATGTTGACAGAAGACTTAAAAAACTGTAAATTGTTTGAGTTAGTAAAACATGATACAATAGAGAATTTCAAAGTTTAAGGAAAAACAAGTTGAATGAAATTGTTTTAAGCATGAACAGTTAAAGTAATAATACAAACAGTTAAACAAGTGAGATTCATTGAAATTGTTTTGAGCATGAACAGTTAAAGTGATAACATGTTTGTTTGATTCATTATCACCCTAATGTAATGGGTGTTTCGTATACGGTTGCTTTACCCATTCATTAATGTTTTTTTTTTTGTTTTTTTTTGGCAAATTAAATTTCCTTAATCATGATAAAAACTTAATAAATTTGATGTTTTTATTAAGTAATTAAATTTTCACTCTAAAATGAAAAAAAATTATTTTTTAATACTTGCTTTCCAGCTCCAGTTTACGGTTGTCAATAAAAATTCGATTGCTGCAATATATTTCTATTTTTTCTGTCTTTTTAACAAAAAAATAAAAGCAGTTTTTTTTTTCATAACTTTTAAATGCATAACATAGTATTAATTTGGTATTTAGATTGATTTGCAAATGATAAAGGCCGTATATCGACGAACTTATGGTACAAGCATTTACAGTATGGTGGATCAAGCTGATGATTTAAAATCAAGAAAAATTTTACTCGATATTGTTAAAAAGTGAAATGACCTCAGTAGTATAATAATAATATTTTTTATCTTTTTTTGGAGAAAATATGTTGCAAATAAAATATGTTGGTACATAACTTGCAAATAATATGTCAATAATAGCTTTATATTTTCTTCCTCAGTTATCTTATGATAATCTCTTTGGTTATTATATAATTATATCCTTGATTATTTTAGTTAACTTATTATTTGTATATGGATTATCATACATTTTTTTAAATCAAATATATATTTTGAAAAAAAAATTTTAACTTTTATTTGCAAATAAAAAGTAAAAGTAGTAAATTAAGATACTTAAATAATGATCTTATCAAAAATAAAATAATGATTTTATCGACAATAAAATTAGAAAACTTAGTATAAAAGAATATACAAAATCAGCGGTGGCCAAATCACAGCCCACGGCAAAATAATGACCGCTGAGATTTTTTTTAAATACCCGTTAAAACAATTCGGATATTTGTAGAGTAATCAGAACATTGCTTTTAAAAAGGTTTTGTACTTCCAAAAAAACGTCAGATATACTGATTTAGATTGAATATGTAATGAAGTGTTGTTATATCGACTGATTTATGCCTGCCCAAACTTATTTTTTTGCCGACTAGGATTTAATGTTTGGGGTGTCACAACCCCCCCCCCCCCTCCAACACACACACTTCTCTACCCAAATTGAATAGAACAAATTGACTGGAGAAAGCAGAAGAAGATGGTTTTATCATCTTGCCCCGTTAATTTCAATTATATTTTACAATAAATATCAATTAAATATAAGATAAACAAAAATTATAAGATACTTAAATATATATAACTATAAAAACTCGTATGATTAAATTGCCACGTAAATGTGTCTTTATAAATATAAATACAATTAAACACATTTTTATAAATATAACCATATGCATTTCAGCTATTGCGTAAATGAAAAAAATTCAAGACGTTTAAAAGTTTAAAAATAAGAGATTGTTTCTGTAATGTTGAGTTCAAGTATCTGTTGTTTAACAACGCATTCAAAACGTAGAAAAGAGTTTATCGTTTTAATCTCATTTCTGAGAAATGAGTCCACAATTGTGGTCCTTTTCTAGATATTGAGAATTCGGATTGTCTCAAAGACATTTTTGGAATATCGTAGTTCTACTTAGAATGTTTTGTTTCGTATTTATGATCAATAAGTTGGAAGTAACAATTGAATATTTTTGGAACCAAATTATTTTTTAATTTAAACATAAACTGAAGGGTCCTATAGATGTTTTGCTCATAAATATTAAAAACTCTTAGTTATTTTATTATTTGTTTAGCTCTAGCATATCCATTTGTAAATATGCGGAATGCCTGTTCTTATTTTTTATAGGCTAAGGCTGGTTTTGATTGGTAAGTACTTGCCCAGGCAACATTGCAGTAGCTAATGTAGCAATGAACAAATGCAAAGTATAAACTTTTTAGACATTTTTTATTTAAAATATACTTAGTTTTATACATAATCATAATGCTTTTAGATGTTTTACTTTCTAACAACTTGATATGCTCTTTCCAGCTAATATGTTCATCTAGAATAACTCCTAAAAACTTTACAGAAAATGCTCTTTTAAAATTTTGTTTTGTCAACTAAAATATTTGGAAGTTTTAAAAATAGTTTTAATATTTGAGTAGATGTAGAAAGCTTGGGTGTCATTAGCAAAAAGAATAAAATTCAGCATACGAGAAGATAAAAATATGTCGTTAATATAGAAAAGAAAGTCAAGGTCCTAGAATAGATCCCTGGGGAACGCCACAAGAAATGGTTTCATGGGAAGAGTAAGTTTTATTGTAATATAAAATTCGTTTCCGATTGTTTAGACAACATTTAAACCGTTTTAGATTTTTATTTTTTATACCATGATTATTAAGTTTGTATAAAAGGATTTCGTGAAAGTATGGAGATATAGTTTTATAAAGTAGATGAAAGTATGGAGATATAGTTTTATAAAGTAGATGAAAGTATGGAGATATAGTTTTATAAAGTAGATGAAGGTATGGAGATATAGTTTTATAAAGTAGATGAAAGTATGGAGATATAGTTTTATAAAGTAGATGAAAGTATGGAGATATAGTTTTATAAAGTAGATGAAAGTATGGAGATATAGCTTTATAAAGTAGATGAAAGTATGGAGATATAGTTTTATAAAGTAGATGAAAGTATGGAGATATAGTTTTATAAAGTAGATGAAAGTATAGAGATATAGTTTTATAAAGTAGATGAAAGTATGGAGATATAGTTTTATAAAGTAGATGAAAGTATGGAGATATAGTTTTATAAAGTAGATGAAAGTATGGAGATATAGTTTTATAAAGTAGATGAAAGTATGGAGATATAGTTTTATAAAGTAGATGAAAGTATGGAGATATAGTTTTATAAAGTAGATGCGTTAACAAAAAAAGAGCAAGAGCACTTCATTGACTTTGATCATTTCTAAAATATGAAACAAATAAACATGGTCAACTTATTACATTTTTCTGTTTGATTGTAATCAAAAGAAAAAATGTAATTTATTCTTTTGATTACAATATTTCTTCTAAAATTAAAAAAATCAAATTAAAAAATTTCAACAATAAATAATCAAATTAATGCTTTCTAATTAATTAGAAAGCATCTTATTATAAAAGTATCTTCATCTATTTCCAATACTTATGCTATAAGTGTTGGAAATTTGTGCGTTTTCTACAACAAACTACATAAAAATAACATAGATCAACTCTGACTGAAAAACATCTTGGTAATCTAATACTTCTATCTCAAAAATCAACATATTATTCAAAAAATTAATTTCAAGTTCAAATTAATAATTTTCCTTTGAAAAAAATGATTAATAAAATTATTTGCTTGTGATCTATCTTTTTGTAGAAATAAATATTTTTCGCCCGGAAAATTAAAAAAATGTATTTTTGCTCGTTTTTTTATACAAAATTTTTCTGTGACTAATTGACGAATAGTTAACAAAAGTTATAACAGGTTAAATTTAAAATTTATAACAGACATTAAAAGTTATAAAGACATTAACTAGTAATTTAGTCATTAGTATTAGTAATTTTTTAATTAAAAAAATTAATATATTTTTCCTGTATGATTTCCAGCAAGCACGATCAACGTTGAAACAACGTTGAAAAACCGTTGAAATTTCAGGTTCAAAAATGGTTGATTTTTGCTTAAAATGGAAACGCAAATCTACGTTGAAAATATTAGATCAACGTTAAAAAGAAACTAAAAATCAACGTTAGATTAACGTTGATTTTGCGTTGGTTCAACGAACTTATATACAAGTTTATAAACTTTGAAAATACAGCTGCTTCTTGCGCCACGACTTTTTAAATCCGCAAAACATTTATTTTTGTACAATATTGTGTTGTTATGAGTAAGATAAGAAAAAATAAATTCTTCATAAACTTATAATAGCTGTTATTATACAATATCTTATGCTATTGTACTCCACATCTTGTTCTCAATTGTTACAACTTTCACTTATTATTATTAGTTAATTTTATATTAAACTACTAACTGTTGTTATAGTTTTACGAATTATCTGCCCTGTACCATTTTTTAAAGCAGGTAACTAAGGTAACGCATAACATAAATTAAAGAAATTCAAAAGCAGTTGTTGCAAGTAAAACCAAAAAAATAATTTATACATTTTTAGAACAAAAATTTATACAAAATTAAAAATTTTTTCAAAACGATCTTGAAAAAATCATTATATCCAGTGTCGGACTGGCTTGAAAAACCGGCCCGGGAATATATATATATATATATATATATATATATATACATATATATATATATAATATATATATATATATATATATATATATATATATATATATATATATATATATATATATATATATGTATATATATATATATATATACATATATATGTATGTATATATATATACATATATATACATATATATATATATATATATATATATATATATATATATATATATATATATATATATATATATATATATATATATATATATATATATATATATATATATATATATATATGTATATATGCATATATATATATACATATATATATTTATATATATATATATATATACATATATGTATATATATATATATATATATATATATATATATATATATATATATACATATATATATAGTAGTAGTAGTAGTAGAGAAATTGCTGCAACAGATTTCCCTGTATAACCTACAGGTTTTGGCAGCGTTATCTACTTCATACATTAATTTTATTCATATCAATATATATAAAAATTTACAATAAGATATATAGTATAAAGTATAAGTTTGTACTTTATTGTTTTTCCTTTATTGTTTTTTTTTTTTTTTTTTTTTTTTTTTCAGTTATAATCTCGATACTTATGCGGATTATTTGAAATTTCTGCATCAAGCTTAGCCTTGAAACTGTTAACTGATGAAGCGCATACAACTTCTGACGGCAATGCATTCCAATGATTCACTATTCGATTAGTAAAAAACTGGTGCCTTTGCTCACAATTTTTAACATATTCTCTAGTCATTTTTAGATGATGTCCTCTAGTTTTTATTTTATTTGACTGCCCAACACGAAGGACATGGGGTTCATTCCATGAGACAATGTCTATATTGTTAATAATTTTATAGGCCTGTATCAGATCTCCCCTAATGCGACGGGTTTCTAAGGACGTTAAGTTCAGTATATTCAGACGATCTTTGTATGACATATGACGGTACGAAGGTACTAAACGGGTAGCTCTTCTTTCTCGATTTTGTCAATATCTATTCTTGATGATGGATTGCTGGCTGCTACCGCAAATTCCAGATGAGGTCGTACAAAAGTTGTATATAGAATTTTAAGTAGTTGCGGAGTCATGTGACTGAAAGTACGATACAACATGCCAAATACACGGTTAGCTTTATTGGTGGCAAAAGTTGAATTGTTATGCCATTTTAAGTCTGGTGTAATCATGATGCCTAAATCACGTTCGACTAAAGTTAATGCAAGTTCGACACTATTATTGTTATTAGCATTAAGTAGACATAAAAGTTGTTTTTTTTACCTATGTGCATGATTTTACATTTATCGAGATTAAGTTTCATTTTCCAGGTATTACACCAATCGGCTATGTTGTAGATATCAGTTTGAAGCATTTGTGAAGCTAATGGGTGGTCTAAACGGGCCAGCAGTTTAGT